TACTTATTACGCGCTCTGATCATCCTGACAGCCCAGGTCGATACTCAAGATCATACATTCCACAAATATCCCTATTTTTTCGTAATGATATTGGTACAGGACTCGATCCGATTGGCACATTACCTCAAGCAATCTTGCGAATAAAACGACATCGACCACCCCGTCGTTGATGTTCCGATATGGGTCGTCACCTTTTTCCCAACTAAAGATTTCTGTGCACCAGTCAAAGTAGCACACCTGATCAATCTATTCCGTATAATAAAAGCCATCTGCAACCAAATCTGTTGGATTCACATACTCACAAGACCATCGAGCAGTGAAGTAATTTAATCTCGTTTGCTTAAATCTAGAAAAAATGCATAAAACCAAAAGAAAATATATCAAATACTCTCGAATAAAGAAAAAAATAGTTACTTGTAGTCCATCACATTGTCACGCACAATCGTTGCAGAGTACTACTTATTTCACACGAGGATGTCGCATTACAAAAAGCTATTACCACTTCTTTTTAATACGAATAAGCTTGTTGCTAATAGTTGAATGCGACTGCCATAGAGATTCAGTCCATTTTTATACCGTAAGTAACAGATAGACAAGATGAAATAAATCAACTTCTTTCCACCCATATTTTATTTCCAATTAGAATAATCGACTATTGAATATAAGAGCACATTTTTTTAAACGCTATAATACATTATTAGAATTTAACGTCACAAGTATATAAAACGTTATCAATTGTTCATCTTTAACGATTTCTCAAACTATAAATGCAACATGATTAACCTATTGCAATTATTCTTTATTAAGATGGGGTAGAGTAATAGTATACCGTACACGCGTTTCTCCGACACTAGTGAAAGTTGAAATGTAAATAAAGAAAATTATTCAAACAACTCCAAATCCATACCAAAGTCAGAAAGGTATAAAAAAAACTTCAAACCACCTATATACAACATGCTATACTTTTTATATGAATAAATAAAGAGAAATATTTTTATAATGTATATTAAATATTTTTTCATGATATCTCATTTATATCTTTAATTGATATTTCTAACTATAAAAAAGGTTATTTAAATTTTTCTTAAAAATAAGATAATATTTATCATTGACTAACATTATAATAATAATGAAAAAAAAGACATTACAGGGTATCGAACCCACGCCCCCATGCATCCGTTCAACTACGTTTTGACATTTAAGTCATAGTCTTTTTTGAAGAAACGGTACATATTGTGTATTTTTATTTTAAAACAAAATTATCATATTAGTCTTTTATTTCAACCTAGTGAATATAATTTAATTAAAAAATACCTATCTTATACTTATCTATGGACTTTGTTGAACATTAGATAGGACTAAAAAAATACACTAAGTAAAATTTATTAATATCTTTTCTTATCTTACCTATTTTTTACGACTCCGATATAGTTATACATACGGTTTAGAATGGCATTAAAAGTGTTGTTTCGTGAATATTTGATAAGTTTTTTCAAACATAATTCTTTTATTTCTTAAAAAGTTCATCATACATTGTTATGTAGCACTAAAAAGTGTCGTTATATATTAATTAAACAATGATATTAATTGAATAACTATGCGACTGCCTTGAAAGAAGTAGCCCCGAAAAGAGTCAATCAAGTCACTGCAGTTGTACTACCCATACAACCTATCTAATTTGTCTTACCTGCTGCGTAAAAAACAAAAGTGCACTCGCGATTAAGAACGCATTATTAAAAACACATACGCGAAGCTTCTTCGTACAATTGCCTTCGTGTTAGCTACTCCTTCTATTAATTATGGACGACTTCTGCGCGTGACAAAATCAGTGTTGTGCCATCCGTGCCTACAATTAGCCGACCAATAACCATACGGGGAATCAACCTCGCGCCCCAGTTCCACGGAAGTGAATAAGAAACTATATGTATTTAATATAGATAGTAAGAACTCCAAATATACACACACATACACACGTTATAGGGGTAGGGTAGTGATGGTGCAATCGGAGAGAAAATCAGCTAGTTTACACGTTGATCTTAAAATGTCAGATCGATACGAGTGATGAAAAAAATACGTGGATTTCAGATCACGCATGATTTGAAAATGCTAATTTAAAAACATACGAATCATAGACCATGCCATAAGCTGATACCGTCTACTGATCTAATGCTGCCTTGACCCGAGGTCTCTTTAGTTTATCTACTTCGCTGCTAACTACAAATCAACGTTAACAAAGCCAACCTTAATGAATCACTATTAATAAGCCTACATGAAGCTCCTATGTCTAGTTCCATCCGCGCAATTTTTAATTAATTTTCATATTAAGTATTTTTTACACGATTTAATAACAGACATTTTTTCAATTTTTTCAAGTAATGGATGAGTTAATTTCTTGCGCTGGCATCTTTGAACTTTCAATTTGATCATTGCGAATTGTTTTTTTTTTTTCTTCATTTGAAAGATATATTTTAGAAATAATACCAATCTTACAAATGCAACAATCAGCGTTCCGGGAATGGCAAGTAGTTCGATTATGATTGCCACCACAGCTTCGGCACGATGAAAGTTTCCGTTGAACATTCAATGTATGTTGTTCTGCGATGTTCAGTTTTGTTAAAAGCTCGTTGTACTTGGTAATGATTTCGAAAGTGTAACGAGCTCTTTTAAGCTCTACTTGATTTGACTTGCAACGGAGTAGATAATAAAGCATTAGTTTTCTGATGTGGACTAATCTGTACATTATTTTTTGATAATTTGGCCGTGCTCTTGGTTGTTTTAAGTGAAAAAAGAGTCGTATTGATTTGTTCACAAGTTCGTCACGTTTCAGGCGTGTCCGATGAAATAAAAAATTTTAATACGTTATTCAACCCATCACCTATGTGTATTCGTCTGTAGTTAGCATATAAATTATTTAAAATCTTACAATCGAAGCCCAGTTGAATCTCTTGAAAAAATCTTTTACCATTGTGCCATCGGATGAAACATATTCTTTAAAATTGAAAGGTGCAGATCTGATTTGACCAACTGCGCCTGCTCCATTGGTAAGCTCATTTGCGATATCTGGAAGCGACACTATTAATGTCAAATATGTTCGGTGTTTTTAGCGAGACATCACCTATTTTGAGAGCTTTTTCATTAATCTAGAATCCAATTTTAAACTATTGCACACGAGGATGAATAAATTAGATATTAAATGTAAACTCGTTTATTAATATCGAAGTTGTCGGTAAATAAATGAATTTGTTGTAACAATAACATAAACCAAAAAAGAAATAGCATGAATTAGGTTATAAAGAATTGAAAATAATAAAAGATTGGAATACAATACATAACAAGAACAATTACAAAATTGTGCTAGAAAGAAAGAGATAGAGCATCGGATTGCCACGAGCAACCGTCGATAGCCGTTGTTTATTCTGAAAATTACACCATTGGTTGGGTTTAAAGTAGGGAGAAAGCAGTGGGCAGAGGTGGCTAGCGAGAACTCGCTAGCCAGTTTTCGATAGAACTGAAAAGCAGTCATTCCAAGCCAACGGCTTGGCAAATTAAAAATATTTACAATCGCGTTCGCGTTGCAGCGCCAAACAAACGGAAAGTCACCGCGCCAGACATAATAGGGCTTTTATCTCTGCTCGCTTGTTCGACCGCTAGCGTGGCGCCGTTGCGTTCCTTTTTCCCTACTGCTTGCTAGCTAGCTTATTTCACGCCTTTTATTCTCTGCTTGCTAGCTGTGTATTTTTTCCTGTTCGTTGTCATGGCATTACTCGTTGAAATACAACAATTGCCATCTCAATTCTTCTTCCTTTTCCATCGCGCAGGCATACTCGTTGCTTATTGTGACGACTGCTGGCACAAACAGACAATTATCACAGGCTTTGATGATGATACTTGAGTTTGAGATACAAGCACTCTCAGTATTCTCGGATGCGCAAGCGCAGTGTCCGCGAATTAGAAGTGATAAGAAGTGAAAACGGTGGCTGGCCGTTTGGCCTCTCTTGCTTGTGCGACTATAAGAGAGATCGAGCGAGAAATCGATTAGGACTTGAAAGCTTTCCCGGAAGAGAAAACGCTGCTTCGGTCAGTGGAGTAGCAGTTAGTATGAGATCGTGGCCAGCTACCGCCCTTTATACAGCTGCCCCAGCTACTTTGGCTTAGAAAATTGTGTTCATCGATTATCCACTCACCAATTTTCAGCAGAACTCCTTCACTCTTTTCTGCTAGCTTTTGCTTTCTGCCTCTCCAACTTCTGTTGCCACCGTCGTCGCCGCCACTGCCACCGTCTATTTCTTAATTCCCTTATTATTCGATTTTACTAGTCTTGTGCCAATTATTCGCTTTTGTTATCCATTATTTTCTCATTTCTGTATTATTTTTGCTGACAGTATTAATATTTTTATGGCATAAAATAAAAAATTTGTAGAAAAGCAGAGAAACAAACGAGGAAGGCGAAAGAGAAAGCGAAAAAGAGGAAGCTGTAGAGGGAGGATGGGAGAGAAAGGTAAAAAGAAAGATGCAGTCGGATCCCGTGGGAGAGGCTACGAACGTGGGAGAGAGAAAAAGAGAGGGCGGCAGTAGGCTGACGTGCTCGGTCCTTTTACGGCATATGTAAAGCACATAACGCACATAAGGAGACAGGCAAAGACTGGGCGAGCAGAGTGAGCAGCGGAGCCAACATTGTCGAACGTGACTGCTTGTAAGGGATAGGCCGCTGATATAAGAGGCGCTGCCGCGCAAGCTCGCGAGCAGCGTGCTTTTATGGATGGAGCAGGCGCGCGAGTGAGCCCCCGTCCCATGTCATAAGTCTGCCGTGATGTATGCTTTTGTTTGTTTGCCCAAGTAATAACGCTGAGACTGGATGCTTCTCCGATGTATTCTCACCCTCCTTCAGTCGCCTTTTCTCTCCACACTGTTCCCTCTCACCTTACATACACTGCCTTTATCCACGTCGCATTATCGAGTGATAAAATGAGAACAGAACAAAAAAAAATCATTTGTTGCAGCTCAATCGAAGGACGGCGCAATACAAGGAGGAAAAGCGAAACCTGCCGAACAGGGCCGACAACGAGAGCATGTCGCTGACGCACTCCAGTCTGAGCTTGAACACGAGCGGCTTGTTCCGCGAGGGTCGCATACGGCTGAGATGCTTTGCCGAAATAACGCCAGTCTATAACGCATCGGCCTCCATCGCCATCACTGAAGACGTGCCGAACATTGCCTCGATCACCGGCGACGCCTCGTCACACAGCCGTCGTAAGTAGAGATTTGCAGCTCTATAAATGCACGCTCGGGCGAGTAATATAGGCCGCTGGCCGTTACCGGCTGCCAGCGCGATGGGCTAGTTCGTCGCCGCGCACTGCAGTTTTATGAAGCAGGCATTCCTCTTCGTTGGCTGCCGACGAGTCGCTCGTGCGCTCCCGCGCGAGACCCTTGGGCCTAATAAATTTCCGCTGCGAATCTTTATCGCCGACGCGTGATTAAAGCCCGCTTGTTTAATTCCGATTGTTTTACGGGCGTGCGGCGATTTCCAGCGCACAGCGCGTTGCTTCACGTTCGCCGCAGCTCCATTGCCATTTGTTTCGAACCAGTCTAACTTCCCCTCGAAAGATCGGCAATTATGGGATAATGATTTAAATAACATTCACTGAATAACTATATTGCGTTACGCCCAAAGATTACTTTATTCGATACACACAAGGAGAGGCAGGCCTTAACTATAATAGGACAACCAAATCTGTAGACTATAGAATTATAATCAGGCGTGCTACAAGCTGCTTCTAATATCAGGAGCAGAGACCTCATCATCTCACACCAGGCTAGTGCATATTTGTCATGCGTTTATTGTCTTTTTAGAAATCTCTGAAGTAAACAAACGTTGATTTTTGCATTCTCTTTTCGAAGCAATTCTTCTATCCGCTCGCCTTGCAATTTACATATCTGCATTTAAATCGTCAATGCAATAGACTTCTTAAATACTTAAATACTTAGGCTCGCGAGCAATTTTCAGCCAGTAATACGCAAAGTGAATTTCAAAAGCTGAACAGCTTCGCTTGTCAGCTATTATTTCACTTTTCAAATTTCACAAATTATCCCTGAAAGCTAGATCTATAAAGTAGACGCCAAGTGAAAATGCCTTTTACGAAATCACGTAATTTTGTTTACCAACTCTTCGTAACTCGCTCAATCTATATCACGATATACAGTCGCGAGCTAGTTCCAATTTTTTCTACTTTTGACATGTGCCGATGACACTTAAAGCAAGCTATTTTCGCTCGACACTTTCTTCAATATCATTGTCGAAATTTATTTGGCAAAATGTAAAGAAATAATAACAACAACAGAAGTAAAAAAATTTGCACGTGCGCGGCTTGTCCAGCAGATGCCAAGTCTGATAACGACTCGGCAACAGCCGCTTGAAAAGTCCGAAAAGAGTTATTATTCTGCCAAACGAGCTATTCTTGTCTCTCTCTCTCTCTCTCTCTCTCTCGATCTCCGGCTCTTCCTCTTTGTCTCTTTCTGTAGCCTAGCTGCACGTCTTGCTGGCAACATAACGCACGGGCTATGTGCCATTGTGCTCTCGGTTCGGCTCATTTCCGTCCTCGAATGAGCAGCGAGATCGTCCGACGAAAGTAGAAAACTGAATTTAACGAACCATCGCTCGGCGTGGCGTTCTGTTCCCACACTACTACTTCTTTACTTGTTCTTATTTCCAATGACGTTTTAACCTACTCGGAACTCGACTTTCTGATCACTGTAAAGAAAAAAGAAAGAACAAGCCAAGTTGCGTTGTTTATTTCTCTAACTTTGCATAAAATTTAGAGCCGTATATATCTTTAGCAATTTTCAGTCTATTTTTTCTTTAGCTTATTTAGCGTTAGCTATTATAGCTCGCTAGCTGGCCTCTACTTAGTCGACACGACCCAAGATTTCTGAAATAGTACGATAAGAGCTTTACAATATATCGTTCACCAACAAATATTTGAATTAAGTGCAACTCGGCAAGCTGGTGCGGCGCTTTACTTGCATTGTCGCTGCAGCGCGCAAGCGGCCTCTTTCCTAAAACTTTATCTTTGCTAAGTTTATGAATATTGACGGCATTAACATTTTTAAACTTGACTAACATATTTTCAATTTCAATACTTCTCATGAATCCTTATCTGAACCAGTGAAATCGATAACTCAGCCATTGTTGCTGGCCTTGTTAATTAGTGCGCAGCCAAACGTCATTCATTTTATAGTCATCGTAGCAATATTGCTTTGCCTGACTTTAGCTTTAATATTTTAATGTTCGTCGTAATGCAATTAGAGCAGATTTCCGCGTTATTTAGTCGATTTTAACGACGGACGAATTAACTGATGTTGAGGAGAGAAAAAGGACAAAAATTGTTTAACGAGCTCAGAAGACTACGAGGAATAGGTACATTTCTCAAAACAAAAGCATTTTTCGAAAGTCGCTAGTTATTGCAAAGAATACGTAATAGTGTAAGAAGGGGTCAGTGGCGTATGAGTTAGTAGCCGTGTGGAACGTTCCCATGGGAAAAATCGTTGTAATGAAAATATTTATGGACATGACGTAGTAGCGTGGTGGCAGCAGAAGAGGCAGGGCGGGCCAGGGCAGGGGCTTTTGTTGCGATATCAATCACGGAGATGCGAGAGCAAAGGGGAGTGCATGGAGTCGGAGTCACCCCCAGGCTTAGTCAGAGAGAACGAGCTACAGTCCGCTTCCGCGGCAAAATTTATAAACGTGAATCATGCCGTGCTGTAGGTAAAGGTCCGTATCAGCTGGAGCGTTCAAGCTTTCGAGAAATCGAATGAGTTGCCATTGATGTTTGCAGTCACTTGGCCTTTCGCGAGGCATACTCCCCTTGTCCCAATCGCAATTGCCACGTATGACTCAGCTTACATCGACTACACACACATTTAAGTGCGTCGTATTCATATGGTGAGGCTCCATTGGGTCCGGCTGGCAGTTCTCGCATAATCGATATAGCGGTGTTCAGTTTAGATGATTCTGACTATTACTTGGCCATCTATCAAAAACTATTGCATCGGTCGATGCCACCAATCGGACAATTGAATCGGCAAAGTGATCTCGAGGTTGTCTCAAATAATAGAAGCACAGAGCTAAACCGCTAGCCACAACAGTCCAATAAAAGCAGTCCATACCTTGCACCCGGGAGTCCAAGACCGTTCTACTGCCAATTCATTATTCGGCCGTAAAAGCATCGCACCTAAAGATGTCCATTTAAAAAACCCTTCCCATGCTTTCTCCTACTACCGAGCTTCCCTCTCCACTTTCTTCGCCGCTCTACTTTATTCCTCTTGTAAGATGGATCTCTCTATATATATATATACACCTATACTTCGTGCTAGCTCCAGGTGTTACTATACCAGCCTGCCTGCATGCCTGCCTGCCCACCTGCTTATTTATGCCTCATTATTGCGGCTGCGCAAGCTCGGACGCCTTCGCATTTCGCACGGCTTCTTCGTATGCACGCCTATTACGATCATCTCTCATTGGAAAAGTTGAGATCAATCGTTTGACTTCTCTAATCATAACAGAACATTTTCTAAAGCCAAATTTATTCAAACGTTACTAAATACTTAATAATATAATTTTTTTCCGATGTCGAGGCTTACGATAGTATCATAAAAAGAATTTCCTTCTTTGGCTTATTTCCTGAAATTACTCGTTCTTATGATTGTAAGTCCATTTTCATTTTTAATGGCTTTGCTTATTTCAAAATTAGTACTTTATATTACTTAACACACTTACCGCACTGGTTGTATTTCACGTTAAATTCAAAGCTTGTTTAAAAGTGTTTTTCATTGATTAAAATTGTGACAAACATTGTAACAGAGACAAAAAAAGCTTCGGAAATTTCCAGTGTTGGCAAGAAATGACTCAAGCGAGAAGAGAGCTAGTAAAAGAGAGGAACAGAGACGCAGGAAGGAAGCAGAGTGCAGAGCTGAGTTTCTTCTTCGTCGAGTAGTAATTTAGTTTTTCCCATAGCTTGGTGGCTTTTTGCTCGCAAATTTAATCGAGAAACCACGTCATCATCTTTAATGCGATTTTTCGCCAGTTTCCGTAACTTTTTGGCTTCACCTTATGAAATTATAGTCGTACTAAGTTGATTACATAAATATCACCAAATCATCTGCACGTTTAATTCAACATGGATAATCGCCAGAAACATTGAATAGGTAGAAAAAATTATTGATTATTGTCAATTGAAATTTTTCCACTGCTATATCGCTGTTATTTAGAGTTGTTATGTACATTACATTTACAAGAAAAATAATTTAACAACTGTCTTAGATGCAGTTCTTCCCTATTCATTTGCTATTTACAAATTGTAGATTCTTATTCATGTCTGTATTGAACTAAATCGAGCGTTGCCCTTTTTAAGTGTCGACATTTTTTCTAGAAAAAACATAAATAATTTCATTTTTCACTTTTCCTATATATAAACAAGTAAATGTGACGAACGGGGCAATCTTTATAAGAATTAGCATTACTCGTATTGTGGAATCAATGAATACTTTTTTGAAATTTATTACAAGCTTCAGTAATTATGAAAATACAAAATCTTACAATTTTGTTCTTTCTCTAATAATATTTAAAATTAAAAAACATCTTTATTTTTTGAAAAAATTACATGCTTTATCTGAGGGTATCGGAGTGAGAGAGTCAGATAAAATAAAAAGGTTGAGTGTATAGAAAGTGGTTATAGTCTAATATTTAGGAGCGTATAATGTTAATTGAATAAAAATATTATTAATTAATGAATTATGATTATATATATATATATATTTGTTAATTTCCCTTTTACAGAATCCAGTGGATGCAATCAAATGGTGTCACTGTGTATTTGGTCTCATGGTTTAGCAACTTTAACCATGAGTCTTACTTTGCACATAATATTGGATTCCTTAATAACAAGGTAGTTTAAATCCAATAGCATCGTAATGATGATACCGACGATAATGATTCAAAGACGTCCTCTCTGCCTGGCCCATTCACATCGTCCACATGAAACCTAGTAGACTAGGGCTTCCAGTTATGTATGTTACTATATACAATGAAATAGATAGCTGAATAATTTTGACTCGAATGATGTTGAAGACGACAAAGGGTCAGTTGCTTCAAATAACATACATTTTGTCAGATGAGGAAAATAGGTAAATGAGATAAATAAATTATAACACTGATAACGCGTAAAAGTTAATTAATTCAATGATGAGCGTTAAATTAAAAATAAAATCAATAAAATAACATTTAAAATTAAGATAATGAAACACATTTATGCAAATATTATAAACAGTTACTTTTGAACATGTTATCTTTTGATGTAAATTGTTACAAAAAAAACACTTTTCCTTCATGTATTTATAATGTAATATGCTACTTCAAATGGTCATTGATAAACAGTTGTATATTCGCGTTTTCGTCCATCGTTTTTTTACAAAATCCCATATTCTAACAGACAGAATTTTATTTGTTATACTGTTTCCAGAACATTAGAAAATCTGATAATATCTCAATATTAATATCGGAAAGATACATATTTACATGGTAATTTCTTATTTGTTATGACATCGATTATTATAATTAATTTTATTAATTAACAATCTTATTTCATTCATTTCTAAAAATAATTCTCAGACATGGTTTTATAAACTTTATAAAAAATGTTACGTATAAGTGATATGTAAAAATATATTTTTTGTTCGATTAATAAATATTTGTATTTAATTATTTAAACCTTGTCACAGTATGTTTGAAGCATATATGCGTCATTTAATAATTAATAAAATATGTTATTTACATATAAATAATATACCTTTTCTTTTATAGAGAAACAAATATTAAGAGCCTCTAGAATTGATGAATAAACGGGATGAGACTAGAATAAACAGTCTATTAATATTTTTAGATATAAGTGTATACGATGCAAAGGGTAAAATTTATAGGTCTAAGGGATAAAATCACGATGCATTTTTACGGTATATAGTAGGTTTCTTCCAGGTAAAATCAATAATTTTTCCTTGATTATTAGTAATATTCATTGAATGTATTATTAACAAATGTTCTAAGATTTTTACAATATACATACACTGCCCATCAATCACTTTTGCCATGCTTACCTCAAAATTAGGCAAACTTGAAAGTTTTGTATCTCGGTCGGAAATCATCGTATCACAAAAAACCGCAGGGCATTTTAAAGGTAATTGCAAAAGCTTCCATTTAAGACGTGCAGAGACTTAAAAATGAAAATATGTGTTTTTTACAGTAAAAAAACTGATTAAAAAAATTTCAATTTTTTTAACTTCGACTTAAATCAATGCCAATTTAGAACCAGGCGGTGGAGGGCAAATTGACCTGAGGGGTTCGGAGGGTAATGTCTTTCCTTTTAAAATGAGCTCCCGCGGGGTTCTATCCGATGTTTTTTAACCGAGTTACGGCGTTTTTTGTAAAAAGCAACCTTCTTTTTCCAATCCTCAATTACTTCGACTTGCGTACGTTTTGGAAAAAAATGCCAAAGAGAAAAAAGTTTCATTTTGTATCCAAGAATACGAAAATAAAGTCAAAATAAAGAAATAGAGAAAACAATTTTTTTCGGTTTTTTAACGCATTAAAAAAATAAAGGAATTTAACTTTTTTTTTACGCTTAGTTTTAAAATGTCTAGGGATGTAGTAAATCACAAAAAAACTAAAACTAAGCGTAAAAAAAAAGTTAAATTCCTTTATTTTTTTAATGCGCTAAAAAACCGAAAAAAATTGTTTTCTCTATTTCTTTATTTTAACTTTATTTTCGTATTCTTGGACACAAAATGAAACTTTTTTCTCTTTGGCATTTTTTTCCAAAACGTACGCAAGTCGAAGTAATTGAGGATTGGAAAAAGAAGGTTGCTTTTTACAAAAAACGCCGTAACTCGGTTAAAAAACATCGGATAGAACCCCGCGGGAGCTCATTTTAAAAGGAAAGACATTACCCTCCGAACCCCTCAGGTCAATTTGCCCTCCACCGCCTGGTTCTAAATTGGCATTGATTTAAGTCGAAGTTAAAAAAATTGAAATTTTTTTAATCAGTTTTTTTACTGTAAAAAACACATATTTTCATTTTTAAGTCTCTGCACGTCTTAAATGGAAGCTTTTGCAATTACCTTTAAAATGCCCTGCGGTTTTTTGTGATACGATGATTTCCGACCGAGATACAAAACTTTCAAGTTTGCCTAATTTTGAGGTAAGCATGGCAAAAGTGATTGACGGGCAGTGTATATATGGTCAAATTCATAAAACTTTTAACTTTTGAAAAAAATAGAAAATGAACATTTTTTAGAGTACATGATTGAGCTTTGGTGCATATTTTTGGTTGGCAATAAAAATGATGAAATTATGGTTGTTAATGGTTTAAATAGGGAAGGGGCGTAAGAATTATGACGTCATAACGAAGAAAAAAATTTTTTTTACTTCATTTGTTCATTATAAAATTATTTGCTCTACAATAACGAATAAAATTTAACGGAAATTTTTGAGCACTTCATACGCAATAAATAATATGAATAAAAATAACATATAAATGTTTTTCTTTACGATACCTGGGACTTGTCCTATAAATACCAGAGAGAAGTTTTAATGCTGTTATTGATTGTTATTACCATTATTAAATTGATATTACCACCTCCAGGCATCACTTACCTCAGAATCTAGACGAACATTGTTTTCTTTACTTACAATGAATAATTTGACTAATTTTCAAATAAATAAGGAAAATAAATATCTACTTACGGATAATATAGTTGTTAGAATTTTAGGTATCTCACTGGCTGTAAGTTCATAGCTCAACTGACAACACAATCAAAGCTGAAGGTAGTTCATACTCGTTGTTTACATATTTCAATGTCGTGTATGTCTTATTTATATAACAGCAGATGAAACGGCGATCGTTTTATAAAGTGATATAACAAATTATTAGAAATAATATGTAAGCGAAATCGCAATGCACAAGTAACATTTCACTGAATCAAATTGTTTTTGTATTTTAAATTAAAATAACAGCCTGATACAGTAAAACGACTATAATGCTAATGATACATTTTTTACACGTTCAAATCTTATATATTAATTATCCAACGCTTTCTTAAGCAATTATCTTTCAGTGTAGTCATAATATTTTTACGCACCTTGTTTTCTTTGATCACTTTAATCGAATTCTTCAGTTTACGCATGAAATAATGTGAAAATATAACGTTCTCTTATGCTATTGAAAATATTGAATTATTGCTATTGCTTAGGATTTCACATATATTTTTTTAATACTCGCTATGTACAGGTTATTCGCAGCAGACGTATAGGACTGCATATAGAGTCCCTTTTTGCGCCAAATTGAAGAAAATTTAGACAATATTTTGTCGAATAAAGGGCACACAAATAAATATCTTAACCTCACTAAATATTGAAAAAAGAAAAAAATTAACATTGTATCTTTGTAGTCCAATAACTTTTGTATCGGTATAAGCATATGCACAGACTTGGATGAGCAGTCATACTGTATGGTAAGGTACCTAAAAAACCAAACCAAATAACAAAATCTGCAGGGGCGTCCAAAATAAATCCTTAGGAGTTAAACATTTTTCAAAACAGAAAAACTCGCAGCCGTTTTCGAAATTTTTCAATTTTGAAATTTTTTTCATAAGTCCATTACTTCTAATTTGGTACAACTAAATAAATAAAAAAAAATGGCATTACATAGAAACTTAAAAAATGCTATGCCTGTACAACAACTTTGGTTTTATTGTTATTAGATCATTTGTGACGCCTCTCTAAAGGTTAAGTTTTGTAGATTTTCCCATATCGATGTAATGCAAGTATTATTTTGAATATCAGAAGGAAGAAAAATACATATTGTAGAATAATCATTTGAAAGTTAAAGTTGATACATACCAAAGAATAAATTAAGCTTACAACGTTCGAACTCTTAAACAAAATTAAGGTTTTACAAATGTGTGCTGATCTCTCTCTCTCTCTCTCTCTCTCTCTCTCTCTCTCTCTCTCTCTCTCTCTCTCTCTCTCTCTCTCTCTCTCTCTCTCTCTCTCTCTCTCTCTCTCTCTCTCTCTCTCTCTCTCTTCCCTCTCTTCCCTCTCTCTCTCTCTCTCTCTTCTCTCTCTCTCTCTCTCTCTCTCTCTCTCTCTCTCTCTCTCTCTCTCTCTCTCTCTCTCTCTCTGAATCTAGTTTCCCTTGGACTGAAATTTTTTTCTTATTTAGGATGAATTTTACTCTAGCGCTCTTATTTCCTCTTAGTTTTCTTGGGGCTGACCTGATACTTTCATGAATGGCTTCGGCTCGTGTATTTTCTTAACTTTTTGAACTTGAAACTGAATCTAACTTACACTGAGAGAAATAAACCTATAAAATTTATTAAAACTGTAGTAAAAATTACTATAAAATATCGTAACGGTCTGACACATCTGCGATATAATAATTTTTACTACAAATTATAGTAAATTTTACTGCTTTAATTTTCACTATACGTTATAGTAAAATTTACTATTTGTGTGATAAATTTTAGCATATCCATGAAGAAATCTTCATTTTTCGGTATGATAAATAACATTCACGATTATAGCAATATTTACTGGTCAAGGAATTAAATGAAAAAATACAAATTCCATAGGAGCGCATTTATATGTATAGATATATGACAATTAAGTACTAAATTTCGAGATTTTTTGATATACAATGTACAGAGTCGCTTTAATCGCCGATCGCCAAATTCGCTAATTATTCAACTACCTATCCTATATAACACGCTTCCTTCTAATACCGAGTTCACTTCGCAAACAATTTTGATGTGCAAGTAGAACTTGGAACCCTTATATATACGAAGTGGCGATAGTTTTCGCCACTCGCCAGAAAGAAGACGCCATCTACTGTTAGACTTGAAATTTACACACCTCAACTGGTTCTGTAAAATTCAAATATAATTTCAACTTTTTATGAGGAAAAAAATAACAAGAAATAACACATTCAATAATAAAATATGTTTATTTTAAATCCAATTTTTTGAAATATAATTAAATCCATCGCATGCCATAACCATGTTAGATAAATAATAGTCGTGAACTTCTTCTTCTTCTACCTTATTCCAATCATAACTATCAAGTGTATAAACTTTAAAGGCATGCAAATGATCATCAAAATAACACTCTCCTAATATTTTTGTTATAAAAGTATGCTTTGAATTCCGTTTGAATATTTCATGAACTTCATGAAAAACAGGACCGGAAGAAGAAGCAGACACAAAAATATTATGTTTTTTTATAAGTTTATCATAAAAAAAAAACCATTTTAACGCTTGATAAGTCAAATTCGTTCAATAAGTGGCAGTACTTTTCAAAATCTGGTAATGAATTTCTAGATAATAGTTTAGAATTCCTGGACATGAAAGTCGGGCCAGCCGTTTCTTTGATCATAAATCGATAGCTTAAATCAAGCTGATGCTTAATGGCTATGGTTTTATTAATATTTACACGAGAGGTAGTAGTTTTAGCAACACCTTTGCCTTCTTGATTTTTACTTTCAAAGCGGATACAGCAAAGTTTCCATAGTATACCGAATAACTTCATGCAACGCGGATAGTGCAGAAGGAAATGATGTTTTGGCTTGAATGCATTTGGGTGCTGTGACGCAAGAAGCGATAAATATTCAAAAATAATAACTTCCAAATATTGGTAAGCCGAACGATGTACTTTATTACTGCAAACAAAAACGATTAATTCTCTCAACGACAGGTACAATTGCCAGGTTTCGCATTCTAAGGATACTAATGGACCAATAATTAAATTTATATTCAAAACTAAGTTCAACATTTCAGATGACGTCAAAACTACATATCCAGCCTTTATTGATTTTTCCGATAACTCCGGAGGTTTATTTGTATTATAGCCAAAGCCATAATCAAAACCACGCACTTTTGTATTGTATTCATCTAAAGACAGTAAACCTAGCTCAAAAATATAATAATGAAGAATAACTGCTAGATCATAACGACATACTCCTTCTAGTATGTCGTGCATGATATCGACAGCGATATTCTTACTTGAATGAAAGTGACAAATTTTATGTAAAACGCATTCTTCTAAAATTCCAGATAATTTTGGATCTTTTAGATTTCGCAAAGAATCATAATTAGCAACCGTTCGGAGAGTACATTGTTTTTCGAGAAAAATTGTTTTTTTTTCATCTTTTTTAATTAGACAATGGTGACAAAATATTGACGCATTAAATCCTTCTGTTAAACCCAGTAACGTATGAAGTCCGAGATTATCACCAATAAATAAAACTAATTCAAAGAATACTTTTTGACGACCGTCCGGCAACTCAATTTCGATTCCCCATGTATTTAAAAAATTTAGTTCTTCTATTGCTCTGGCTAAAATTATTGGATTTTTAAAACATTTTCTATCAAGCGTGTTGAAAAGTAAAAATAAAAAAATATTTTGTACTTTGGCTTGATACTTTAAGGGTAGCCCAGGAATACTTATATAGACTGCTCCAGATTTCGATAGACCTTTGTGGCTACCTAACGGATTATTATTTTCATAGTCGTCAAAGTACATAATAAGTGGAAAAACAATTTTCTCTCCAAACGTTTGCATTCGCTCTTTCTTAAAATCTCCCTGAACAAAATTTGTTATAATGTCATCGTTCAATTTCAAATCGTTCAAATAATCGACGGTTTCTTTGAAAATTCCAGGTAATTCAAAAAAATGTTTTAAAACGAATCGTAGTGGTATAAACTGAACATTCACAGGTACGTGCACAAGCATTTGAACATTGTTCACTTTTTTAAACTCAGCTCTTTCGCCTATTCGGACGCTCACTGGTGCAATATAAGTTTGCAATTTTTTATAATGCGAAAAGCGTTTTTGTTCTGTATCAACGGTTTTTAAACATTGTGAAAAATCATTAATTAATTTATTAATATTTATTACTTTGTTAATATTTGAGCTGCTAAGTTCTTTCGCGATTTCTTCTTTCAAATGTCCGGATATATCAGCCAAGAATAGTTTTGTTTTTTCGATTACTTCGTTAACATTTTTTCTGGGTATTTTTTTAAAGCTTGCAATACTTGCACTGTATTTTACAGCTATACTGTTGAGCGATTTATTGAAACTAGAAGGTGTACTCTCTATATAAGATTCTAATTCATCTGAAGAATCATAAGTAAATGATTCATCTGAACTACTACAGTCTTCGTTATTTTCAAAAATTTCGCAAGAATCGAGATTAGATTCAGTTTCGATATATGGTTCATTATCATTGCAAATCAATTCCTCATCATTATCAGTATTCGTTATAAATTCTTTGTGTTTACTACGCATGTGCTTATAAAATGAATTAAAATTTGAATATAGCCTACTGCAGTTTTTGGAAAGGCAAGCAAAATTACTGGAGTTGTTATGATAAGTTGAAAAATGTTCAAATAAAAGTTTGCCATTGTTAAGAGACAAATCGCAATGAGTACAACGTAATGTTTCCATGTTGAGAATATCTTAATATTAAAAATAAATAAACATGCATTCCAACTTTCTAAAAAAAGATATAAAACTAAAGTTGTCTCAATTGACCTACAAGTGCTGTTCCATCGACAGTCACCTCGTCATCTGGCAAATCGATACCCAACAAAACTTTGTGCAAGAAAACCCAAACCGTTCTCGTATACTTTGGGTACTGACAATCTAACGCAAAGAATATTTTCAATGCTAATTCTACAGCTTCAAGTATAGTGTCGACGTCGAAAGTCTGATTATTAACAATAACGTGGTAACCGTTTATACGACTGGCTGGTCCAACTGCAACGATAACAGGCTGGAACGTTACTCCATCTTGCCGATATCTTTGCTTCAATTTTTCAAGTCTTGCTTCGATATCATTTGCAGCCTGTAATCAAACAAATTGGTTGAATAAAAATAATGAATGCACGTTAAAATTTTTATGACGCAAAAATATACTTCAACGCGCAGTATGAATGATTCTCGACGTTCTTCAAGAGCTAATTGTTTCGTAGCCTCGGGAGTTGGAAGAGTTGGTGTTGGAGAAGTTGATATTGCATCTTTTTCGCCACGTTTGCGTTTGTTACTTTTGTTATTTTTTTGTCTTTTTGGTTTCAATATATAGCATAGCAGATAAAACAGTATAAAGTCTTCCTTTTCTAAAAAAAAATTATTACTTTTCTGATATATTTATAAACATAAACTGGAGAATCAGATAAATAAAAAAGTCTTTAATTGAAATAGCTTCCAACTTTTGCACTACAACTTTTTATTCACTGTAAATGTTACGCTATTTTTATTACATTTTATACATGAAATATAACATCAATATATGTAGGTTAGGGTATGTTCGAATGATTTTTGCTTATCTGAACTCAGATCGCCAGATACTAAAAGCCCAAGTAGAATAGAGTCATTTCTGCTTGTTATTTTTGCTTCATTATTTATAGATGTAATTAAAGCTTGCTTAACTTTTTCCCATTGCTCAGCCTCGATGAATGGATTATTAGGAAATAACAACTCATAATCTACATCAAACTGAAACAATTATGTTAATTATATGATAAGGACTCACATCAGATTAAGCAAATATTTATCAATAAATTTACTTCATACCAGCTGATTGGCATTTTGATTCTTCAAGCACGGAAATTTACTAATGTAATCGAATACAGTTAAGGTAGATTGTTTTAACAGAAGTCTTCGCAACTGAAAAGAATAAGTCCACCTCTCAAACACTTCATTCCAAGGTTCAATGTGACTTTCAAGCCATTCAATGTGATTATCTTTTGAAAAAAAAAAAATATGTAGTGTCTCTGAATATTTTATTATAGTGAAAATTTTACAAACAATTTCTAACTTTACCATTGAGTGCATTCCCTAATTCCTCGTCATTAAAAAAATTTGTTGGTCTACTATTCAATTTTTCACGCAAAAGATGATCATCCTTTAGTTTTTTTTTTAATAATTGTAATGGTTCCAAAGTTTTCCAGTAGCTAACACTGTGATTTTTTTTGAATTATGGATGGTTTGCACGTAATCTTTGAAATAAGTAGCAGCGCATTCATACTTGAAAATATTTCCTATTTCATTAGCTAGGACTTCAAATCGTTTTTTTGAAATACTAAAACACAAAATGAATTATCACATTTTCACAACATTCGGAGATTTTGATTTACTTTTTTATACTCACATAAACTTTTCTAGTTGTTCATCAACGTTCACGTCTTTCAAGATGTGATCTTTTTCTCTCGCTATCACTAACCTACACAGCCTGTTTCTAATCTTTTTGTTTAAAGGAAGATTTTTTTCTTGAGATTTGAGATAGTGATTAAGAATTGCTTTGCCCTCGGTTTTGTTTTTCAAATACTCTAGCAAACCCTTGAACAATACCAAATTGAAATTATCGACAGAAGTATTAAATAGTTAGTAATCAATCAAAAACTTACAGTGCTGATATATGTAGCAATTGCAGGAGCTTGATCTACGTCTTGTTTTACTTGTTTAGTTGTAATGTTAGCTGGAATAATTTCATTGTTGTTTGTGATGTCTTTTAATGGGCCTGCATTGCCTGATTCGTCCTGAACGTCGTCTTGACTCTGTAACTATTATGCATATTTGTCAGTACGCTTAACTATTTACAAGAAACAAACGCTTATAGAATCCACAAAATTACCTCTACATGATTCCCTTCATCAGCCATTTTTAACAAACATTACTCAAAGCCATATAGAAATCGAAATAAATTACCCAATTCACTGAGAATAATATATGAAAAGTGTGAAAGTTAGGTTAGAAAAAATAACATGCATAGTATCATGAAAATGATTTTCGATGAGCTCTGGTGATAAATGTAATTGAAAATTGTCCAAACCAGCAACTACATTTCAGTGTATTTAGATAAAAATTTATTGTACTTACGACTGTCAACACGAAATTTCCAACAGAACGATCAGCACTGGCAATGTTGACACAACTCAAAAGACCGGCAATGGCATGACGAACCTAACCTGAATAGCGTTGTCATGCGCCGCGCGCGTTTTTTTTTTTTCCCGTGGCAGTAAATATAGCTATTTTTTCTCGCTTTTTTTACTATGCAACATAGTAAAATTTATTATAATCCGATAGTAATTTTCGATTTTAGTAAAAATTACTAATGATTATAGCAATTTTTCTTGAGCTTTAGTATTTTTCACTAAACTATGTAACTAAATTCTTTCGATCTTATAATGAAATTTATTGTGTGCATGAATAAATACGAAGATATTTTAATGCAAATATTGTTCATCCTATTTTTTATCATGCATTATAGCAATTTTTATAATGAACCATAATATATTTCAATGTTTGCTTATCATAAAAATTATGACAAAGATTATAATAATTGAAATTATCATATCAAAATTCCTCACAAGGACATTGTGTCAGTCAGTTACTATATTTTATAGCAATTTTTCTTGTAGTTTTAATAAATTTTGTAAGTTCATTTCTCTCAGTGTAGACTTAGAACTGGACTGCTTTCCGCGGCCGTGTACAGAGCCTCTTATAAGCAAAGGGTGGTTGAGTGGAAATCTCCTTTTTTAGGTCCATGGACTGACAAAGTCAAGATTTTTCGCATTGATCGAAGAATTTTCCTATCCGAACCAGAATACATAATTGGTCGAAGGGCGTGAGTTTTTAGAAAGAAAGGGAAGGTGGTCCTTTTTAAACTTGGGCCCATTCTCTTGAGATGGCTCTTCGAATGTCATTTTTGAAAGTAAAAGTGACGCTATTATTTATAATTAGTTATTGCAAACAAGTGTTAATCAAAATACTTACTTGTAATTTTACATTATTACTTAATACTAGGGAATCAATAATAAATTGAAATAACATTAAAATTCAGAAATTCTATGATTAGTTATTATAAACTATTTTATAAAATTTGCAAACTCGTTTGAATAGTTACGAAGCTTGTTATTATGTTATTATTTGCTATATTCTGTAGTTAAATACGGACTATTGTTACTTATTATCTTGTTGTTTAGTTTAAACAGTGTATTTCTATGTTTGAAAAATGCGCACTATTGTACAAAAGTCGTTAAAATATTATTGAATTTCTTATAATATTCTTTGGAATTAATCACATTATTTTTTTGTAGTCTTAAATACTATGATTTTCTACGATTTTCTATCTATTCAATGCTTCAAAATGGAGATTCGATACAAGAATGAGGAGACTCATAATTATTTATAATCTAATACAAAAGGTTACATTTTGTAATTTAGATATTTTATTTTATTCTTTTCCAATAGTAAATTTTTAGTTTTTTTAAAACAGAAGAATTCAATGGGAAAATTTGAAACGGGAAACAGATAGTAGTTTTATGGCCAGGAGGAGAGCCTCCTATCGGCTGTCGCTTCAGAATACGTGCGCGAGGACTGTAGGCCTCGTTCTAATGGATGCAAGCGAAAAAGAGCAGGATCAGAGATTAGCCGAAAAATAAAGGGACGCGGGCCTAGGCTAGTACAAGGTTTTTTTATATAGACTTTGTGTAAAACCTATTTTCGGTTAGGAATGGAAAGAAAATCTTATAGTTGTGACTCTCATCCTTGTCCTTTTCGCTGGCAAGCAAAGGTTCTCATCCTGGCAATTATTTTATTCTAATTTAAAAAAACATTTTTAAATAAAATAAAATTATTCTTGACATTACAAAAATTTGCCTTAAAGTTTTGACAAAATGTCTCAGTTTCTTAACTAATTTTAAGCATATTTTGTAGATAAAATTTTTCTGTTTAGTTCATTCTTTTCAAGTAAAAAAATCTTGAAGTTTTTTCATACTTTCATATACGATGTTCGAAATCATTCTTTTCCAAAAGAACTGATGGTTTCAATACATCAACTCAATAAATACCAATCATCTTTTCTTAAAATTAACAAATAATGGTATTACTACCATTAATATATATATATGTCTGTCCAACAGATTTTTAAAAACAGCTGCGCAGGTGGGTCAACCGATCTTGGCGGCGATTTTTTCTATGGTAGTACATGCAACAAGAGGACTTTTGGCTATCTCAATTTTTTTTTAAATATATACATACCGATATATATATATATAAATAGGTGAAAAAATGAGCCTTTTTTTTGGCCATTTTTGAAGATCCATAACTCCGTGAGTTTTGAAGATATCAGGATGGGCGACCTCTCATTCGATTCGTCTTTTCATCTACTTTCGAAAACAATGGCTGTCCAAAACCTGAAAATACACTCTGCTGGATGTGCCCGCTGGTTCATTGCACTCATAATTGTTTGATTTTTAATCATATTTACGGGCTCGTAGTTCCGTCAGTTTGACATTTTTTGAAAAATTACAAAATATTTTTTTGTTTGTGTTGAAAAGAACTTTCATTTGTGACCCCGCCCACCTCGCTAGCTTAATTAGGACCAAAGATATACGTATTCAAAGTTTGCTGTTATTCCGAAAATAGCAAAATATTACAATTTTTAAAGTACATTTAAAAAATACGAACATCATCTTTTTCATCAAACAAAGTTTTTCTAAGTAGCTCTAGTATTGTAGAATATAATTATTGAATTTATTCAGTAAAATAAACTCAATCCATTAGCAAAGTATAAACTAAGTATTTATTGAATAAACATGAAATAAAAGTTACATATAATTTAAATACAAAATAGCGGAGCTCAAGAGTAAAGGCTGTTACTCCTCTGAGCGCATCGGGTGAACTAACTACGTTCGCAGATGCAGCTAACGTATCCTCTCGCACAGGAAAATCACCAAAAACATTTATTGCTCCACCTGGAGACCATCGGTCATCGGCGTGGTGACGCGTCGCAGGCGCGCAACGAGCAAAAGGTTTTATGGCTCTGCCTAGGCTTTCTCTTAAGCAAACAATCCTAAGGACAGATCTCGAAAATACTATTTGTGCCTTGTGCTCGCATATATATTTTTAACACTCCCACTTATTTTGGAGATCCGATTACACTTAACTTTCCGCGCAAGTAGCAAAACTGCTGTTTTGGTACAGGCTTAGTAAAAATATCAGCGAGTTGCTCTTTAGATTGCACATATTTTATGTCTATAGTACTTCACCACAGTTTACAACATCACGGGCAAAATGGAACTTCACGTCGATGTGCTTTGATCGCTTGTGATCATTGCACTCGGAGTTGCTAGCAATTTTAATAGCTGCTTGATTATCAACAAAAATTGTAACAGAATCACAACCGAAATTCAATTCGATCAACATACGGCGCAGCCAAATCGCTTCTTTCACACCATTTGCTAACGCAACATATTCAGATTCAGCGGTCGACAACGTTACAAGCTTTTGTAGTTGGCTACACCACGAAACCGGCGCGCCATTTAACATAAACACAAAACCGCTTCGCGATCGGCGTGTTTCAGTGCATCCGGCAAAATCGGCATCAGTGAAACCCTTTACATCAATTGAGCTCCCACTGTCTCCAAAAATCAAGCCATAATCGCGCGTACCAGCTAGATAACGCATGATTCTTTTCACCGCTTGCCAGTGAGACTCACTGTAGCAGCTAAGGAACTGACTCGCGTAATTTACAGCATACTCAATATCGGGACGACATACTCGTGCGGCGAATAATAATGAGCCTATTGCTTCCCGATAAGGTATATTTATATTGACTATAGCAGTATGCTTTTGTAAAACCATACCTGGATCAGCAGGTACACCAATAAAATTCGCATTTTGCATATTAAATTTTTCAAGAATTTTATTGATGTAGGCTTCCTGCGACATTTTCAAAAGACCGCGTTTGCGATCGCGTTTTATCTCGAACCCGAGAAATTCGTCCGCGCAATCAAATATAATTTTAAAGTTACTCTCTAGATAGCGAAGCACACTCAAAATTGCATTCTCGCTCTCACTCATGATCAAGCCGTCATTGACATACACCGCGAGATACACTACAGAACCTTGAACTTTTCCCACAAACACGCACTTGTCACTTGTGATGTTCATGAGATTGAATTCCTTCAGGAATCTCGTGAACTTCTCGTTCCAGCATTTTGGTGCCTGCTTCAGTCCGTAGAGGCTTCGTTGCAGCTTGAGAACTGCCTCTGGCTGGTCCTCGTCTTGATATCCCTGCGGCTGCTCGAGATAAATTTCCTCCTGAAGATCGCCGTTCAAGAATGCAGTCTTGACATCGAACTTCATTATTTCGTAGTTGCGTTTTGTTGCCAACGCAAGTAGAATCCGGATGGATTCATAGCGAACCACTGGAGCGAAGGTGTCGAAGTAATCGATACCTTCGCGCTGACGAAAGCCTTTCGCCACGAGTCTTGCTTTGTATCTCGTTTCCTTTCCGGCTGCGTCGCTCTTCACAGTATATACCCATTTACAGCCTATAGCTTGTTTACCAGTGGGCAGCGGGCATAACTTCCAGGTATTATTTTCTCGGAGAGCTTGCATTTCTTCATCCATAGCACGCCTCCACTTGCCACCATTTGCACTTGACATGGCTTCATCAAACGTCATAGCTTTGACGTCGGCTAGGTAGGCGATGGGAACGCCGAATCGGTCTGGCGCTCGAATTTGGCGCCTGTCGCGCAGTTGATGTCCTTCATGAGCATCGTCAGCGGCTGCTTGTTTTTGCTCGAACTCTGGCTCGTTGGGGGCAGCTGGCATTTCAGCCTCAAGTTGAACTTGATCTTCTTGAGCTTGTTCTTCAACTTGAATCACGGGTTCTTCACTATCCTCCAATCCAAAGTCGATTTGGTAAGTGATTGGTTCAGCGTCGGTATCGACGCTCGGCAAATCGCTTGCGTTGAATGTCACGTTGCTGCTAATATTAATCCTTCGCGATGATTTGTCCCAAAGGCGGTAGTTTGACGATTCACCATCATACCCGGCAAAAACGACCCGCTTGCTTTTAGGGTCGAACTTTTGTCTCTTCTCGTCGGGCACGTTGAGGTAGGCAAGCGACCTAAACACTCTTAAGTGTTTTATTGCGGGCGCGCGCTCGAACCATTTCTCGAACGGAGTGAGCGTCTCTCCTGGTATCAAGATGGCTCTATTCAGCAAATAACACGCGGAGTTTATTGCTTCGGGCCATAAACTAGTGTTCACGTTTTTTGCATGTAGCATCGAACGTGCGCATTCAACAAGAGTACGAATTTCGCGCTCGGCGCGTCCATTCTGCTCATGTA